AGCCCCAACTCATAGCGACCCCTCCTTGGGTTTCCGAGGCAGTATCACTACGGAAGTAGGATTGCCCAACCTTCCTTCCGAGGAGTGGCTGGTGGGTTTGAACCGCCAGCCGTCTGGTTAGCAGGCAAGTGTCTTAGCCACTATGCTACCAGAGCTCCCAAGGGTTGAGGAGGAGAGGGTAAAGGAGGAGCATGTGCTCTGGAAAGGACAGATGGGAGTAGCTGCAGGAAGATTCTGGACAAGAAGTCCCAGCCTAAGTTTCCTAAAAAATAATCCATGATCCCTCAAGGACACATCTGTCTTGACAACAAGAAGTATTGAGATCAGACAGATACAATTTCAAATCCTAGCTTTAGCCTTATGCCCATATAACTTTGGGTTATTATGGGGGCTTATAAATGGATAGGAAGAATTGTAAATTTGGAAGTTGTGTTGGTGAATATTTAGTATACATATTTTCACAATTTTAAAAAATTGGCTAGGAAGGCAAGAATTGTTAAAGGAGTTTAGTGTTTGCATTCAGAAGACTCAAGTCTGGAGCCCAGCTCCAGAAGTTGTCGTCCTTGTGACCTTGGCCAGATTCCTTCCCATCTCTGAACCAAGGCTACAAAGAGGTTAGAACATGACTGAAGGAAACAAGGGCAGCATACACATTACGTAGCAACCAAATCTCTTGCAAGTCAGCCACTCCTTGGAAGGAAGGTTGGGCAATCTATTTCCATAGTGTTATTGCCCCAGAAACCCACAGAGGGGTCTCTATGAGTTGGATCCTACTCAATGGCAGTGGGTTTTTGAGTTTGAGCAAACAGACAGGGGTCCTGATAGTACAGTGGTTAAAGTGCTTGGCTGTTAACCAAAAAGATAGTCAGTTTGAACCCATCAGCCACCCTGTGGGAGAAAGGTGTGGTAGTCTTCTTTTGTAAAGATATACAGCCTTGGAAACCCTGTGGGCAGCTCTAACTCTGTCCTACAGGGTTGTTATGAGTCAGAATTGACTCAACAGCAGTGGGTTTGTTTTGGTTTTAGGAAATAGGCAGCACTGCCCCATTCAAAAATGGCAGCTGAGCACATGCAAAGGAGTGCAGTTGGCCACCATCTTTGAGCAGGGCACTGCTTCCTGTTTCCTGCTGAGGTCAAAATCCAATACACAAGAGATTGCTTGATAGGTAACATATATTGCCCTTGTTTCCAACTGGTTGGCCCTACTGAGTGGAGGGTTGGCCAAGAAAGGTAAATAATTGGAAAAGCACCCAGAGTACTGGGAAGCATTTAAAATGTGTTAGTTCTGAATGCATTCATTCATTCATTCATTCATATTTATTGAAATCTACTGTAGCCTAAGGAGTTCTGGTGGTGTATAGTGGTTAAAGCATGGTATAGTGGTTTAAGCACTTGGCTGCTAACCAAAAGGTCTGTGGTTTGAACCCACCAGCCATGGTTCGAACCTACCAGCTGCAGTTCAAATCCACCAGCCCCTCCACAGGAGAGATGTTGTGGTTGACTGCTGTAAAGATTTATAGCCTTGGAAACCCTGTGGGGCAGTTCTACCCTGTTCTATAGGGTCACTATGAGTCAGAATCGACTCGATGGCAGTGGGAACCAAAGCTTAGGTATTTGGCTAGCACAAAAGTCTTGTTTACCTTGAAAAGCCCTTGAACTGTTTGTTTTTTTACTGGGTGAGAGGGTACCTGGTATCTGCAGGATAATGGGAAACAGTGATCTGGAGCCCAGGCCCAAGAGGTGAAATGAGCGTGAGAGATGGTTCTAATCCTGAGATTTTAATGTCAGAACTTCCTTAACCACATGTAGGTTGAGGATTGAGTTAAATGTTGAAGGAGTCAGTAGAAGGTAGGGGTGTCAACCATCTCCTAAAAGAATTACTAGAAAGGAGAAGGAACAGGTACCTATCATTTTGAATACTTGACTCTGTATCAGGCATTCTGTTAGACACTTTGAATATTCTGTGAGGTTGGAGTGAAAACCAGCTGCTGTCCATTTGACTCTGACTCATGACTCAATAGCTGATTTTTCACAAGTAGATTGCCAGGCCTTTCTTCTGAGGTGGTTCTAGGTAGACTTGAACATCCAATCTTTTGGTTAGCAACCAAGCATGTTTAACCATTTGTACCACCCAGGGACTGTGAGATAGGGGTGAGATGGGAGTCGGGGTGGTGGTGGAATTTTCCTAATTTATAAATGAAGAAACTGAGTCTTACAGTGGTCATGTAGCAGGGGATCAGTGGACCTGGGATTAGCTTAGGTCTATCTGCTTTTCCAACCATACTGAACTCTCAAAAACAAAGTTCACTGCTGTTGAATGGTTTCTGACTCATAACAACCCCTCCTTGGGTTTCCAAGGCAGTATCTCTACAGAAGTAGATGGCCCAGTCTTCCTTCTGAGGAGTGGCTGGTGGGTTTGAACTGCCAGCCTTCTAGTTAGCAGTCAAATGCCTTAGGCACTATGCCACTAGAGCTCCCTCCTACCATACTAAGTAGCTCTAAAGTAGCATTTCCATGGGTGCACCACACAGCCCTGTTCAGTGTGGACATTAGCACATGAAGGATTCTGAGAAGCCCTGCCAGGTGGTGCTTAACTTGCTCAGTCTAGCATTTTGCCCTACGTATTTGACCAGGGAATCCTCTCCTAGTCCCCCATATGCCTCTTTTAGAAAATAATCCTTTAAAACAAAGAAGAAAAGCAGAATTGCCACTGGGTCTCTTTAGGAGCTCACTTCTGATCTTTTGTTTTAGGAACAGTTTGTGAACTTTTCTCATCATGGATCCCTGTGCTGTCAGAAGGCACATTTTACTTGATTCTGCCTTTCCCATTTCCTCCTCCTCCTTCAGTCTATAGGAAGAAAATTTGCTGACTGGAATATAGTATGTTTATTAAGTATTAATTTTTACTCTTATTCCTGATCATTAATGACATAAGAAAAGCAGTTATCATGGGTATTTTAAAGATGGGTCTTGGAAGGCATGTATTGTTTAATAGAAAGAGTTCAGGATTTGGAATCAAATACTAAAGTGTGGAGGCCCAGCTCTAGAATTTATCATCTGTAAGCCTCAGTTTACTTCTTTGTACTTCTTAGGAAGTTATAATAAAGAGAAAATGATAAGATAATGTTCATGAGAAGTGTAAGTGATAAAAGTGCTACCTGAATACTTTTTATTCTTATTAAGTGTAATCAGCATCAACATCATCCCAGCCATTTCTATCATCGGACTCCTGAAGAGTCCAAGGACAAGAAGAAAGCTTCATGGTGGTTCTAGAGGGCTGCTCATGCACCTTCAAGGTCAGCTGGAAACTTTGTCCAGTGGAGGGGGGATATGCAGCATCTGAGGGAGCATTTTGAAGAATTTTGATTAAGAGACTATTTCCAGAATCCAGAGGACTTGTTTCAACAAGCAAGCATCAAAGTCAACTTGGGAAAGACAGGAATAATTACTCACAGGCCCGTCTAGGGCTCACCAAGCGGCAGATGGATTGATAAACCTTTCAAAGGGGAAGGTATTGCCAAAGAGGGTTGCTGCGCCTGGCTGCCCCCCTGATTGAGATTTGTGAGCACAGAGAAATGTTTTCCCTCCTCACTACAAAGACTGGGAAATTGCACAGGAGTCGAAGGGCAGGGTAATGGGGGGTTGTCCTTTCATCTTACACTGAGTGAGAGAAGAGTGGCAAAGCAGGTCCCACGCACCTCTCCCTCTACCCTCAATTCCAGAGCCCGCTGCCCAGGCCACGTGCATGTTTCAGCACCCAAGATGTGCCAGGTACCTAATCTACATGACCTCACTGAATCCTCAGAACCAGTAGATGTTACAGCTCTCATTTTACAAATGACAAAACAGAGACTCAGGGAGGTCAAGGTCATTAAGCAAGTGGTACAGACAGGAACAGAATCACCTGCTCGACTGCACCACAAGGCTGAAGAAGCTCTAAACAGGCTGGAAGATGGGGGCAAAGGAAAGAACAGAGAACCCCAGGCCCATGAAAGGACCTGCTCTGAGCTCACAGCAGTGGATGAGGTATGATTTGCAGTGCTCAGATGAAAAAAAAGGCCATCAAGAAGGTCAGACTCTACACAGAGCCCCTGACATGAAGTTCAAGGTTGTTGCCTATTTATCTAACCATAATTCCTAGTAATCAATAAAGGCCAAACAGTTCCCACACTGCACAGATCCCAGCCACTAAAAGACTCTATTGTGTTATTCTGGAATCATATCTGTGTTCAGACATCTTGTCCTGTTTTCTGACTCTTGGTGTCCCATTGCAGTCCAGCTGTCCAGGCTGCAGTAGTGAGTCTCACTGTTGACTACTCCACTGTCTCTATGTGAATGTGGGAACTATTTATTAACTGAAACAGTGACTAAACCTCTGGATTGCTCACTCTCACTGCAACCCAAAGTTGCTTCTAACTTTCTTAATGAAAACACCAAATGAGTGTAGCCCCCTAGAAAGCCCAGGCTGTTGACTAGGGAATCTCCATAGGTTGTCAGAATTGGAGCATCCCTGGAGCCTACAGCATCCTGGGTCCAACATGGGTCCTTGACTGGCAGAAAGAGCCTCAGGATCCCTGTGTCACTTTCTCCATTGACAAACTGGTATTAACTTGTGGAAAATCCTCTGGAGTCCCTCTTGCAAAAAGCAGGGAAGTCAATAAGAAGGATCTGACTCTTGAATCCTGGAAATACCTTTTCACATGGATCATCAAGCAATCCATCATGGTATACTTAATCACAATACATAAAGGTTTTGTGGAATCAAGTTTCCAGTCACCATCAGTCTTTATTTAGTGGTCTCATTGGGGAAATAGGGAGAGCTATAAGCCCCTTTAGCCTGGCCTACAGCGCATCTTCTTTGACCTGCGACTCTATGAGCTCCTTTAGCAAGTAATAGAGAAGGATCAAACTTAAGGCCACATCCATGCTTGCCACATCCTCTGCATATCAGCAGCCTTAGTCACAGCCCCATTCACCAGCCCCCATCCTGTGGACATTACCTGTTTACTGGAAGACATGTTGGTGAGCGTACTGATGCTGCTGGTATCTGTTACCACCATCGCAGATGGAAACCGGGAGGTGTGGGAATACTGGGGGGGTTCCTGCTTGTGCGCATACACTGGAGAGAGTGAAGACAAAATCAAGATGGAGATGGCACAGGCATGTGTGCAATTATAGACTCCCCTGTTCCACATCATAGCTCCCATTTTCCTGGGCAGATAAGAAGGGTGGTGGTGGTTATGTTTAGGAAGGCAGTATGGTGTGGTAAAAAGAATGGGCACATGTTTCAATCCTGGATCCACAATCAAGTTACTTCACTTCAGTTTCTTCATTGGTAAAATGGGAACAATATCTATCATAGGATTAGAAGAGATCAGTTTAGTACTTTGTACTAAATAAATAGTCTTGCACAGTACCTGGTATGTAGTGCTATTGGGGACCCTCCTGTTCCCTTCACTTTCAATAAAGTATTAGATGCCTGGGCATCAAAAAAAAGACCCCTGGTAGCACAGTCCTTAAAGTGCTTACCTGTTAACCCAAAGGTGGTGGTTCAAACCGACCAGCAACTCTACAGTGGAAAGATGAGGCAGTCTGCTTCTGTAAAGATTTATAGTCTTGGAAACCTTATAATGCAGTTCTGTTCTGCACTGTTTTTTTTTTTTTTTTTTTTTTTTTTTTTTTTTTTGGTTTTTTTGGTTAGGCATCAAACAAATGATCTTTAGGCAAATGTGGCTCATCTGAGATTTCAAACAAAAAAGCTCTACCAAATTCACTGCCAAAACTAAACTCACTGCCATCAGGTTGATTCCAATTCATAGTGACCCCATTGGGTTTCCAAGGCTGTAAATCTTTACGGAAGTAGACTGCCTCATCTTTCTTCTGGCTGGTGGGTTCAAACCACTGACCTTTTGGTTAGCAGCCAAATGCCTTAGCCACTATACCACCAAACCAAAACCAAAGCCCATTGCCATTGAGTCAATTCTGATTCATAGTGACCCCCATAGGATTTCCAAGGCTGCAAAGCTTTATAGAAGTAGATTGCCCCACATTCCTGCCATGGAGCAGCTGGTGGGCTTGACCAGCTGCAGTCAAATGCCTTACCCACTGTACCAACAGAGCTCCTTAAAAAGCTCTAAGTAACAAGGAGCTCTGATGGCATAGTGCCTAAGGCATTTGACTGCTAACAAGAAGGTTGGCAGTTCAAACCCACCAGCCACTCTGCAGAAGGATGACTGGGCAATCTACTTCTGTAAAGATTTACTGCCTCGGAAACTTTGTCAAAGGGGGTCACTATGAGTTGGAATCGACTCAATGGCAGTGAGTTTGGTTTTTTGGTTTAACTAACAAACATGAAGGAGCTGGCAGCATATGCTTACTGTTTCTGTTGTTCTAGTTTGCACTAAAATGACATCATAGCCTTATGGAGACAAAAGGGCACTTTTGTGGTTGTTTGGTGCCACTGAGTCAATTCCAACTCATAGTGACCAAACGTGACAGAGTAGAACTGCCCTAAAGAGTTTTCTAGGGTGCAATCTTTATGGGGACAGATTGCCAGATCTTTCTCCCTCACAGACACTGGGTAGGTTTGAACCACCAACCTTTCAGTTAGCAGTTAGCAGCCTTGTGCTTAACCGTTTACCGTTGTACCACCAGGGCTCCTTAAAAGGAGACTGTTGTTGTTGTTATATGCCGTCGAGTCGACCCCAACTCATAGCGACCCCTCCTTGGGTTTCTGAGGCAGTATCACTACGGAAGTAGGATTGCCCAACCTTCCTTCTAAGGAGTGGCTGGTGGGTTTGAACCGCCAGCCTTCTGGTTAGCAGTCAAGTGCCATAGGCTATGCTACCAGGCACTATGCTAAAAGGAGACTAGATTAATATAAACCTCCAGAGACATGTGACTTTTTTTTTTTTTTTTTAATTTTTCCGGTACTTGTTCACCAAGTCTGGACCTTTTGACTCATGCTAGTTATCCATAAAATTCATGTAAATTCTAGGTCATATGACACACTAATGAAAACACATGGGTGCTTGGTCATGAGGGAGGGACTAGCCTACTCTCAGAACATGGAGCCTACAAGGTGTCCCCTAAGCAAGGAAAGGGAGTGAAGGTCACTGCTTGCTGCCCAGGCTTGCCCTTCCTGTGCAGGGAGGCTGGTTTTTTTAAGCCAGGGTCCCCATAATGCATCTCTTTGTAACTAGTTAGGCTTGCTGGGCCCTAGCTGTCCACAGGCTGCTGGTGACCACTCTCTGACTGTCCCACCAAAACCTGACCACCCAGAAGCCTGCCCAGTTGAGGGGGTGGGGGAAAGTAGAGAATACATGGCCAGGCTCTGGGGAGAAGAGGAATGGGGCACATGTAGTCTTAGACTCTGCTACAGGCTGTGGCAGATTTTTAGAAGCCACAAAAATGTGATTGGAATGCGAGATGGTGCTCAGAAACCAGCTCCACAGGCCTGAGTAGGGATTGAGCCCTGGGGATAGAAGAGCACTGAACCTGGCTGTTCTCCCTCAGACCCGCAGCTCTGCCTGAGGCAGCCAGGGGAGACACCATGCTGCCTGCTGGGCCATGTGGCTTCCTGGCTCTGCTGCATGAGGGGCCGCTGGTAAGGGCTGGGCAGCTGCTGGGAGAACTGGACAGGCTGCAGGGCTGCCAGACTGCCAGCCACACTCCTCATCCCTGCCTTCTCAACCTAAACAAACCAGATTCACTGCCATCGAGTCGATTCTGACTCATAGTGATCCCCTTTGGGTTTCTGAGGCGTTAAATCTTTACGGAAATAGATTGCCCAGTCTTCCTTCTGCAGAGTGGCTGGTGGGTTTGAACCACCAACCTTTTGGTTAGCAGTCAAATGCCTTAGGCACTATGCCACCAGAGCTCCTTGTCCCTGTCTTCTAGGAGTCCTTTAATAAAAAATCACTTGTGTTTTACAATTTTATGTGGGCAAAACAGTTTACAACCTACTTTTATTTCATCATAATGGCCCCTAAAGAATGTTTTATTTCATTTTCATATGAACCTGCATATTATTATCATTTTTTATTACCACTCAAATGCATATTATTACCATTTTATGGATGAAGAAACAGACTCAGAGCAGCTGAGTAACTTGCCAATGATTACGTAGCTGGTAGAGGAGCCCTGGTGGTGTGATGGTTAAGCAGTAGGCTGCTGACTGAAAGATCAACAGTTGGAACCTACCAGAGTCTCCATGGGAGAAAAGACCTGGTGATCTGTCCCCTAAAGATTATAACCTAGGAAACCCTATGGGGCAGTTCTACTCTGTCCTATTGGGTCACTGTGAATAGGAATAGATTTGACCACAAACAACACGTAAGTGTCAGATCCAGGATTTCAGTCCAGGTCTGTCTGACTCCAGGACTAGCGTTCTATTCCAGCAATTTCTCTAATGTTCTTTTGGTACTATGCCTGAAGTAGGGAAGCATCCTCTCCACCCAAACCAAACTAAACCCACTGCCATGGAGTTGATTCTGACTCTTAGTGACCCCCATTGGGTTTCAAAGGCTGTAAATCTCATCTTTCTCCCCCAGAGCAGCTGGTGGGTTTGAACCTCTGACCTACTGGTTAGCATACAAATGCCTTACCCACTGTACTACCAGTGCTCCTTATCCTTTCCACCATGCCTCCCCAAACTCAGAGGCCAGGACCGATAGCTAGAGAACTGGGGGTCTGAGGGGCAGAGCTATCAGGACCAGAGGTTGATGGGAAATAATGGGTTGAAAAGTAGATTTAAGGCGGGGGTAGATATTGGATATGGGAAGTAGCCTGGGGTGGGGAGTAGGTAATAGAAACTCTAATCTTTGTCTAGCATGGCACATGGGTTGTACTTTCCACCTCTGTTCATGAGTTCTTGATTAGGGTGTGTAAGTTAGAGGGCATGGGGACGTTGGAAGATTCTTCTATTTTAGGGAAGGAAAACAGGTTTCAAATTACATGCCAATCCTTATTTGGTAATAGTTGTATGGACTTTTTTATTGAGAGTTGACCTTAGAGCAACAAGTTGGGAAAGGGTGCTATGGTTGATTGGTGGTTTCTTCCATGGGTGCTGGAATGGGAAATTATGGCATGTATTCCACATATATGCTATCTTTGCTCTTTGTGTCCAACTCCCATTTATACATAGGCCTAAGTTGTCCTCTTCCACCTTTCTCCTTGGGAATCTTGGTAATAGAGAATGGACTAGAAAAAATACAGCAATATATAAGAGTCATGCCTGAGAAATTGTCTTGGTTGGTAGTAGTTAGGGAAAAGTGACCAAACCAATAAGCTTCCAAGACAGTTCAGAACAAGAGAGGGAAGCAGGGTTGTGGCAGGCCCTGCATACTGTCCTCCCCCAACATGCCTGTGTTCTTACTGTGTGAGTTCTGCAGCTGAGTCACGGTGGCCATGAAGGGCTGCTGGGCCATGTGGCTTCCCGGGCTCTGCTGCATGAGGGACTGCTGGTGAGGGCTGTGCAGCTGCTGGGAGAACTGGACGGGCTGCAGGGCTGCCAAGCTGCCAGCCACACTGTTGATGACAGGGACGCTCTGTGCTTGGGAGGTGTTGAGGCCTGTGGGAGCAAGAGGGAAAGATTAGGATGGCTTCTGGGATAAGGAAGGTGCTCTGGTGGTGCAGTGGTTAAGGCGTTTGGCTGCTAACCAAAAGGTTGGTTTGAACCTACCAGCTGCTCCATGAAAGAAAGATGAGGCGGTCTGCTTCCATAAAGATTACAGCCTTGATAACCCAATGGGGGGTTGCTCTGAGTCAGAATTAACTTGACAGCAGTGAGTGTGATTTTGGTTTGGTCTGGGATAAGGAGAGGCGAGAGGATGGGAACACAGTCATCAACTGAGCTCCTGCTATGTGCCAGGCTCTGGGCTGAGCCTGTTACATAAGAGATTGCATGGAAATCGATTTTATACACAAAGAAACTAAGGTTTACAGACATTTCAGTGACTTGCTTAAATCCTACAGTGAATTGTGGATGGAGACAGATTTTAAACAGGTCCAATTAAAGCCTGAAAGTCTCCCAAAGTCATCCTATAACGTACCAAACTTACCAGAGCCCCAGAAAATCTGATTTTACTTGCCTATTCCGTGCTGGGCTCTCTGAGAGAGGATTGCCCCAGTGCCTGTGGGGCAAAATTAAAGTTGTCTGTTCAAGAGATTTGTGGCCCAGGTCTGTCTGTCCAGCAGAGGGCAGAGGTGTTCAGGGACCCACATTCTGACTGAAATCAAAATAACCCAGAAGTCCTGAAGCCTGTATGAAGCCTGAAGACCCTCACTTAATGGTCTGTGCAAAGACCCTGACTTCAAATGCCTACTCTGTTTCTGTAGCAGAAAGGGAAAAAACACTGGAAGTCAGCCATCTTTCTACTGATGAATTGAGTATATTCTTTTCTAGCAGCACAGGGTATGTGGCATCAAAAGGACCAGGTGCTGAAAACAGGAAGTAGTAAATTAAAGGTTGGCGCTTGTCAATTATAGTGGGTCTAGCCATCTTTCTGTTCTGAGGGTATCAAGGCCTACATGGCTACCATATCTATATTCTGAGACTTCCTCAGAACCGGAGCCAGCACTGTTAGCATTGGGTCCCCTAGTACCCACCCTCCATTTACTCCCTGGGCAAGACTCTGGGGAAGACAAATGAGGCAGAGTGGGAGTAGGGACAAGAGGATTAGGAGGAAAGATACCCCAAACTCTTTCCTGGAGTCAGGGTTTCTTTGATCTTGCTTTTGGGAGGTGGGGGGAAAACGGGGGCAAAGAAGGAAGTGCAGAAAAAGGTCTATTTTAGGTAAATGCATCAGAGACACCTAGAGAGCTTTCCTGAACAGAAGAATTCAAAGGAGGTTCATGGGAAGTCGTCAATGGAGATAGCACAAAGCCCTCAACAATTGTCTACTGGGAGCTTTAGCTGATACGGTTATCAGAAACCTAAAAGGCAAGACCTCTGAGTAGGAGTGAAGGGAGAATAATCCCCCTCCTGGCTCTCCTGGGTGGGGGTGGGGGCCCAGTATTCTCTGATCACCACTGGAATAACACTATCATCAACTCTCCAGGGAGCTCAGCTTCTCTCAACCCAGGGTCTCACCTGATACCCTGGTCTCCTGTTTCCCCCATGGGTTTGATCTTTTTCCAGGAGCCCACTGCTGCTGCTCTTTTGGGGAACTGTGCTCCGGAAAGCAAATTATCCTGGTTTAGAGTGGATGACATTTGAGGGCACCAGTCTGAAACCTGCCTATGCCTCAGAGTCATCTGAAAAAGTTCTTGCAGAAATATACATTCCTGGGCCCTACCCAAGTCTTAATGAGTCAGAATCTTTAGAGGTGGGGCCCAGGAATTTTATTTTCAACACATTCTGTGATCCCAGTATGCCTCAGTTCCAGGATGGAGAACTATTGATGTCATTCTAGTTTCCACAGTATTCCTCTTGGTCTTTTATCTGTTTTCGGGGCACTGTTGTTGTTATCTTAGTTGTCATCAACTAGGCTCCAACTCATAGCAACCTCACGTACAACAGAACACAGTGTTGCCCAGTCCTGAGCCGTCTTCATGATTGTTGTTGTGCTCGAGTCCAGTGTTGCAGCCAGTCTGCATTTTGGGTGCCTTCCAACCAAGGGAGCTCATCTTCTAGCACTATATCAGACAACAGTCTGTAGTGATTGATAGGGTCTTCATTGGCTAATGAAGTAGATCACCAGTCTGGAAACTCTGACGAAACCTGCCCACCATGTGACCCTGCTGGTATTTGAAATACTGGTGGCATACATTCCAGCATCACAGCAATATATAAGTCACCACAGTACAACAGGCTGGCCAACAAATGGTCTGGCACTAGTTCCTGCTTAATAAGTGGGCCATGAAGAAGAAGTATGCTGTCTATCTAATAGATGAGTGAAGAATGGGGAATTGGTACAGCCAAGAAGTATGTCATATTTGTCATGAGCCTCTACAGTCCTGAGGCAGGGCCCATGTATCACTAGAATCTGAGTTGGCTCAATGAGAATGGTTGCAGCCAAATTTTCATCCTGCCACTTCATAGAATGGGACCACAGTGTCTTTGTAAAGTTTTCTAGTGCTCTTCCCCATTCCCCATTCTTCATGCCAAATATACACACACACACACACCCCTTCAAAGGTCAATATACACTCTGGCATTGCCCATCTGCAGTACGAGATTAAGATCACTGAGAAGGTAGAGAAATATGAAATATGGATGGAAAAAATTAAGATGAACAAAATGGAAAAAATTAAGATGAACAAAATGGAAAAATATGAAATAGTCCAGGGAAAAGGATAGTTCAGATCATACTTTAAAACATACATAATTGTGTCAGCCAAGGCTTGAGGTGGCTGTAAATAAGGTAAGTGGGTTTGCTTGTGTTTCATTTTGGTTGAAAAAGTAAAGGAGTGGGATATCTTATCCATCAGTCTTTTAATCAAATCTTGTAGAAGGCAAGCAAGCTGGTATCCTAGCTCATTGTCAATCCAAACCCTGGTATTAATATGGTTATTCCTGGAGAGTTCCAATGAAAAAGCTGTGATTTTTTTTTTCCATGTTGTGAGTCCTCTAAAGGCGTCTCCATTTCCATTTTCCCTTCAGAAAAATAGATTCAGAGTGTCAGTTTCCAAGCAGCTGAGGATAGAGTGAGAGCTATACATGCTCACTGAATAAATTTGTATTGAGTACCTTCTATGGGCCAAGCCCTGTTCTGCCCTCAGAGGGCACATAAGACATCTGTTCAGAAGTGATCAGAGTTCCTAACCTGGCTAGAGCTGATTTTAGGGAGAGAAGAGACAAGGAAAGAAAAAGGCAGGAACAAAATAAAGAGGTTGTCAACATGAGTGATAGACACAAGGAAGGCTAAAAGAACAATGAGACAATACAAGACTGAAGGAAAGAGATGAACAAAGTGCCACACTTACATCTCCCTCACATGTTTTAGAAATACTGTCAAGGGTCATTCTAAGAAACCATGAGTTGGCCTGAGCTGTCACAAGAAAGCTGAACATATGCTGAACACTCATCACCATTCAGACTCTTCAAGAGACATCCACAGTGACAGCCTGCTTCATCCTTCCCGTGCCCTGAAATGCCCATGTGTGACAGCGCACAGACTTGCCACGGAATATGAGCTCTCAGAGCTGGGAGGAGTCAGCCCATTTCCTTGTGTTCAGACATGTGTGTAAACAATCTGTTTCTCCTTAAAGCTCTCAAGGCTTAGAGATGCTGTGTTCCTTCTCAATGTTTTCACCACTCATAAAGAGGTCTTCCTTATGACCATGCAAAATTCCCCATTTAGAAGGAAGTCCATGTCTTGCTCCATCTTTAGCAAAAAAAAAAATCTCCTAGGAAACTTGCTAAATATTTGGGTATAGGAACGAATACTAGTTAGAAGTATAAGCTGCAATATTATACGTATTCATATTCATGCCTTATAGTTTTAGAAGTCTATATATACTGTCATTGATTACCTCAACAACCCATATATAGATGAAGAAATTGAACCTAATAAAGATTAAGTGGGGAGCTCTGGTGGCAGAGTGCCTAAGGCATTTGACTGCTAACTAGAAGGCTGGCGGTTCAAACCCACCAGCTACTCCTCAGAAGGAAGACTGGGTAATCTACTTCTGTAGAGATACCACCTCAGGAACCCAAAGAGGGGTCACTATGAGTCAGATTCGACTTGACAGCAGTGAGATTTTTTTTTTTTTTTTTTTTAAAAAAGATTAAGTGGTTAAATCAAGGATGCATAGCTGGTAAGCTATGACCAGTGTTCAAATCTATTCCATAGTTTTTTCTTATTTTAGGCTAAACAATCCAAATATTGTTGAGATAGATAAGAAACTAAAGAAATTAAATCAAATCTACCAGTTGTGGGTGAGTTTCAAGCAAGTCTTCTATAGTCTTTTTCAAAATCACAGTGACCTACTTCCCATTCCTCTTCTTGACCCCCAGGTTTCTGAACAAGAAAAGAGCTTACTTTGTGCAATGGCCATGACTCCAGAGAGGGGGGTCATGATGAGGTTTTGAGATTGCTGGGGATTATGGTGGGACAGGCTGTGGATATTCGTCAAGGTGCTGACAGGGGGCAAACCTCCTCCTGAGACTGAGATCTGCTGGAGAGAAAAACAAGAGTGTCATGAGCAGAATTTGAACTGCAAAAGACAGTTTCCAAAATGACATGACTTAACAATTCCTTGGCACAGCTACTCAGCATTGACTCATTCATTCATTCGGTCAGTCACTCAGTAACAACTATTAAGCACCTACTGTGGGATAGGCACTGTTCTAGGTGCTGAAGATATAGCAGTAAGTAAAATAGACAATGATACCTGACTTCATGGTGCTCATATTTGTTGACTATCATTGAGTTACTGATCTGCTTCAGAATTCTTCTACATGTACATTATATGGTTGTCACTTGCTCATGTTAGATGTATCCTCTGTTTTGCTCTTTGCCTTTATATTACTAGGGCTAAAGACACACATGATTGCTAAAATAACTGAAGAAATACTCTGGGAATTCCAAGTGAGAGAAGATTAAGGACAATGCATAGAAGCTCTCACTATGTGTTCCTTGTATATTAACTCACAAACCTCACCACAATTCCATACCTCACAGGGGGATACTACTGTCATTCTCATTTTATAGATGAGACACTTGAGGCTCAGAGTAGGTTATGTATCTTGTCTAAGATCCCATAAGTAGTAACTAGTACAAGTGCAATTCAAATTCATGGAAGTCTAACTCCAGAACCCAAATTCTTACCTATTATAGGGGACCCCCACTTATGATAATCCAGCTAATATTAGGTTTCTTTCCTTGTTCCAAATCCTTACTACACATGAAAAAAAAAATGTTAAAAAGCTAATGTTGCAATAATAATGCTACTGAACATATCTTAGACTCCAGTCATTCCCATTTGGTTTTACCACTATATATATATATATGTGTATATATATATATATATATGTATATATATGTATATATATATGTATATATATGTATATATATGTATATATATATATATATTCATAATTACTTTGATGTTTAATAAGTTGTTTTTTTTTTAATTGTGCTTTAGGTACAAATTTACAGAGCAGAGTTTGTTTTACATTCAACATTTCATGTACATTTTGTTTCACTCCCCAATTACCATCCCCAACCCTAACCCCCCTCCTCCTTTCCCTTCGCAGTAAACCACCACTGCCCCGTGCCCCTCACAGTTAGACACTCCTGTGTGTCCTGCATTTCCTCCATGCGAATGTTGCCCTTCTGGTGTCCTGTGGTCGATCACTCCAAGGGATGCATCTCCATAGAGTATGTGGGTGCGTCACCTTGGGTTGAGTGGTCTGTGTGTACATCTTGTTTACTACTGGGCTGAGAGCCAGCCCCTGGGAGTGAGTTTTATTCCAGGCTAGAAGGGTATCCCAGGGCCATAGTATTGGAGGTCCCCCAGACTCCATCTAACCAGTAATTCTGGTCATTATTGTGTTTTTGGATTTTCCTCCTACTTTATCCAGGATCTCCAGATTTGATCCTTTCCCAAGTGGTTGGCATTTGTAGCCAGGAACCATCTAGTTCTTCTGGTCTTGAGGTCCATCATGTCCTAGGGCTGATTGCTTCCAAATGCTCTTGGTTTTTTGCACTCTTTTTTGCTTCTGACAATAGGAGACCATTGGCTGCATCTTAGATGGTCGCTTGAAAGCTTTTAAGACCCCAGTCGCAACTCACCAATGTGGAACAAGATTTTTATGTATTTTGTTGTGCCAATTGAGTCTGGTGTCCCCCAGTACTATGGTCCTGAGTCAGTAGATCCATTGGATCTCTCTTCCACAGTGTCTGGCTCTCTGTGAGGGATTGCTCTATGTCTGTCTTCTGTTGTTTCTGTAAGGATTGTGGGTATTTTGTATCACTGGTATCTGTGCAAGATAAGCCTCAGATGAATCTATCCTCTGTCTAGAGTATAATTTTATTCACTGGACCCCATCTGATCTACTCAGATGATTATGTGTTTATCTGTAGTCTGGTATTTGCAGTATTGTAGACATACTGGTATTATATTTGGAACATACCTTGGGCTCCAGTCACTCCCATTCTGTTTTACCACTATATTTTAATGACAGATTAGTATAGGAAAGCTACTGATTTTTGTAAATTTACTCCATACATGCTCACTTCACTAAATTCTTTTATTTATTCTGAATAGCGTCTTTTCCTCATTGATTCTTTTCATTTTGGCAAGTGTATAATTGCATTACATGCATATGATGCTAATAAGGTCTCTTCCTTGCTAGAACTAATATGTTACATATCCTATTGCATTGATTAGAACTTTCTGAATAGTATTAAACAATAATAACTATAATAATGCTTGTTTTCGTCTGTTATAAAAATGCTTTTAATGTTTCCCTATTAATTATAAAAAACCAAAACCAAACTCACTGCAATCGAGTCAGATCCTACTCATAGTGACCCTTCCTTGGGTTTCCAAAGTGGTATCACTATAGAAGTAGATTGCTCAACCTTCCTTCTGAGGAGTGGCTGGTGGGTTTGAACTGCCAGCCTTCTGGTTAGCAGTCAAATGCCTTAGGCACAATGCCACCAGAGGTGTTTATTAATTTTATAATTAATTCTACACATGCATACACTTAATATTTTTCATGACAAAGTAGTCTACTATTTACAGTTTTTAGATAATTAAAAAATATATTATTAGGAAAGGACTATCCCCTTCATCCTTCATTTTGAACTGACCTAGATACTCCTGATGGCATTAGGAATCCTGGGAGGTGCTTTAGGGTTAGGGTACATCAGATATCTAAGACACTCAGCGTCCCTTCTTCAATTTTTCTTACCCAGAGCTCTGCAAATTATAGATCTTACACCAGCACCCAGGGAAGACGGTATCTCCCACCCAGCCCTTCTGGTCAACTCTAGAGCTTCCAAAGTTAATTTGAAAAGGAAATAAAGAAAAAAAACTGATTTGTTTGTGTTTTTAAAATTGAACATCAAGAAATAAGCTAGAGGTCACATGATAAAAAAGGAATTCCAACCGCATCAAACAAGAAAGAACCAGCCTGTTTGCTGGACTTGTTTTTCAAAATGTCAAAGTCATTTAAAAAAATCAGTAATCTACCCTCGAACTGAATCCTTTAGGTAATGTGGAGAAAGTCAAGAAAGTGACAGTAATCTCTGTCATTAGATGTTCAATTTTAATGATGAAAGCTGAATGTAGATATCAATGATAAAAACAAATATGTAAGGCTTTAGAGTTTGTAAGGTGTTTTCACTGATTGTCACCATAGAAAATATCACAGATAGTGCAGGCATTACTACTGCCTCCACGTTACAGGTTAAGACACTGATTCTCAGAAAAATTGAGACTTACTCTATGCTACTTGATTACTAAATGAAGAAGCCAGAATTTAAGCCCAGGTCTGCTGTGTTTGGGAGCCAAGCCACCTCAGTCAAGTTACTTCCCACTCTAAAATGCAACCAATATTTCTATTCATGTCCAAGACTGATGAAGCCAGGAACCTGTCAAGAATATCCATGGTGATCCTCACATGACAACTCAGAGAGCTCTATTGATATGAATAGCTGTCCCTTATAGGCCCTTGACTATGCTAAGTGCTTTAGAGGTCTACAATCTATGAGGTTGGTGTTAGTATCCCTGTTTTGAAGACAAGAAAACTGATGTTTAGAGAAGGTAAGAAATGTGCTCAGGAGGTAGAGTTGGCATCAAAAGTAGGCTATCTGTCTCAAAGCCTGAGCTTTTTACCACTGTTGTTGTTGTTGTTGTTATGTGCCATCGAATCAAACCAGACTCATAGCGACCCCTCCTTGGGTTTCCAAGGCAGTATCACTACGGAAGTAGAATTGCCCAACCTTCCTTCCGAGGAGTGGCTGGTGGGTTTGAACTGCCAGCCATCTGGTTAGCAGGCAAGTGTCTTAGCCACTATGCTACCAGAGCTCCCCTTTTTACCACTAGGATATACTATTTTGATTCTGTGAAAGTATCCAGTATATACTTACTTAAAAAAGATTTTAACAAGGTTCAGCAAGCACAGACTACAACCCTAAACCTGGCCAGCTTTTGGTCAATACATGCCATTTGCACATGGGAATGAGGATCACACAGTGCAACACAGAACTCAAGTGGATCAGCACTATTTCCAAAACGAGTCCCTAGAGGAAGATTTCTAAAGGCTGTCCCACTGAAAGTCAGCCAGAGGGATGGTCATTCCTATTACAGCATTACAGGGCTTACCTGAAGAACAGCAGAGCTACAATCAATTTTCACAGCAACACTATGATGTATATGCACTTTTACCCCCCATTTTACAGATGAGGGAACTGAGGTTAAACAATTTGTCCATCCTTTGGTGGTAAATGACAGAGGCTTCCTTGTCTGCAGTCCTTTTTAACTACACCCCAACTCTTGTCTTGGTGGGCCGAGATCTGTCATGTACTTGTTATACATTAACAGAGAATGGATTCTTGAATTTGAGCATCCAGTGATGGTGACACAACATAAGAGCCAAGATTCTGGAGACAAGTGAAAAGCTAGTCCTTGCAGATAAGCTTCCAGGTGTTTGCTAACGTCGAGGTACTGCTGCTTGGTCAATCATCAATCCAGTAATTTACTGCTTTGTTAGGGCACTACTGAGCAGAACAGGAAGAAAAAAAATATGTCTGTGGGCTGAGTTTGGAATAGCCCTGGCCTGAGTGAAGCAGCTTACCTCTTAGGAGGAAGGGCAGGAGAGCTCAAAGGGAAATCCCAAGGACCATCAAACAATAAGAGCTGAGACTTAGAAGATTTTATCCACTGAAAAATCAAGACTTCTTCCACAAGGCCCCATATTCCAGGGAAGCCTGGTTAATCCTTAGCCTTAACTTGTTTGGGTCTCAAAGTGACTGGAAAAATCATAAGGACTTGTCTATGACCTTGCATGGCAACTGACACACTTGTGCTTCATAAAGAATAACCTTTCTTCAGATGAGGGGAGGGCAGTGGTGCTACAAAGTGCCTCTGGGAGTGCCCTTTCACTTTCGTCTACAGAGACCACTGCCAGAGAGAGCAGCTCAGGCCCTCTGAAACTAGAGCTGACTGGGACAGACCTCTCCCTCAGAAACCACGTATTGTTTTTCCTCTAGGGAGCTAGGGACTCAATCACCTATGACTCACCATCCCTGTGTTGCCTACACAGCACACACGTCAAGGTCTAAAATGGCATCTGCTTTCCCTCTGCCCTCCCCCGACTCCAGCCCCCACATGGCTCTGGGTCAGACACCTTGAGGGAATGTGTGCAGCTCCACTAGCAACACAGAAGCCAGGAGCCTGTGACTTCTCCCTCCCCGGAAACAGAGCATGACCCAAAGGATAAAGTTTTACATTTCCTACCCTGACTAGTGTTGTCAGGCTTCTGCTCTCCCGTTAGCCGCTATCCCCTATGCTCGTGTTGCTTCTTGAAGACAAGGACCTTGAAAATTCAAGATTCTCACCAAGTATACTATACTTACATCTGGGAATAGGGCAGTGATTACAGACATAGAACTCTTGATTGAAAGAGAATAATACTGACATTCACCTGACAACAACACTGACATTCATGGAATATCTACTGTGCCAAACACTGAGTATTTCACACGTTATCACATTTATTCCCCTAACAACCCTATTGTTATTATCTCACTTTATAGATGAAGGAGAGAAACTTGGTATAGTGATTTGCCCAAGGCTGCAAAGCTAGTAAGTGCTGGTGCTGGTATTTGAACTCAGGTCATTGTAACTTCAGAGATGGTGTTTCTTACTCACTCTGTATCACTCCACCCCATCTGCCATTTTGTGCTGGGATCTTCCTGGACATAGCATACAGTGTCCTTCAAAATCCCAGTTCAAGAAGTCCCTCCCCACCCACCTCCTGCCTGCCACTAAGTCCTGACTTCTTAATGACTCTCCTTGCTTGCGCTGAGAGGCTAGTTAAGAGGAGACTTGTTTCAAAATGAAGCACTCTCTGCGTTAAAAAACTGGCTTTGGAGGCCTTGGGGTGGGGGATGAATGAACATTTTATCAACACAAATGTCATTGGCAGCCCCAAAACAAACAGTGTCCCACCCGGCTTGCTCCTTTATGAGGCATTCAATCAATAAAATAAGAGCAGGGCTCTGTCAGATTTATTGGCTGGGTTCAAACCGAACACCTCTTCTACCCGCCAAAGGCTGGGTCAGCAGCTCTACCTTTCCGTTCCAACTCAGGACAGCCCCCATTTTTCCCTGTGGGGCTACAATGGTTCATTGTTTGAGGCAGGCCTTGTGAGAAGTTGTGTTTGTTTTGCCTCTTATCTTATCAGCTCCAGAGCTACAATGGCCCAGGTGTACTCACCATTTTACCATCAGGTGAGAGGAGATTGTGGCCAGGGTCCAGGCTGGCTGGGGAGACTTGCTGTAAAACTGACTGGCTGGTCACCATGGCGCTGTTGCCATGGTGACTGATTGTTGAGGAGGAAGTCACTTCATTGTTTCCCTGCTGGCTGTAGCGAACTCCTGCAAAACAACACAACCCAAATGGCAAAATTAGTACTACCAGAGCGTGGAACACTGACTTGGCTCCCCTTGTTTTGAAGGGTAGATGACAAGAAAACAAAATTATCTTCTCCTCTGCTGTCTGTCCACAAGAAATATTGGCTATCTTTCTTTAGGGTAAAAGTAGCATGGTCTCTACATTTAGAATGGACGCTCCATGAGGAAAGGACATTTTTATCTGTTTTTTTTGTTTGCTATATTCCCAGTGCCTTGGCACTTGGTAGCTACTCAATAAATATCTGTTGGATGAATGAATGAATGAATGAATTGTGCTCCTTATTGCTTCAGTATAGTTCTTTTAGGGTTAGGGGCTGAGTCTGGCCTTCTCTTTCTGGCTGTAGTAGTTCTTTTCAAAATGCCTTCTAGAAGTTTTTCCCTGGCATCCTTGGCCATGTGAGGCTGTAAAGTATGAGTAGATACATTTTTCAAGGAAGAGTAACTTGCCCAACGACCCCTGTGAGAACCATAGCAAAATGCATAAATCTCTGGGTACTGCCTTTTGTGCAGAGTCCAAGAAGCCAGGGGACAGGGCAGAGCAGGACAAGGATGGAGCTGCAGCTAGAAGTCTTTGGCTCTGGAACTCACATTCCTTGATGGGGTCCCATATGGCTGACTTCCAGGGCACTGGGGAAGGCGCATCTGCTAGGAGGTGGGGCAGGCAGCACACACAGGCGGGATGTGGATGCTTAGTTAACCACTGCAATTTGGTCTGCAAGGGAGGGGAGAACCACAGTCTGTTTACAACCTCACTGCTCTGACCCACCCTCTTGCTCTGGAACCAAAACAGAGGGCTGCTCTCAGGAAAGGGAAAGTGCTGGACAGAGACCAGGCACCTGAAGGAAATTGCAGGAGGGCAAAGAAGCTTGGGTTCAGTTTGCAGAAGCAAAGTCCTGCTTGACATGCCCACAGATCAGCCAAGGACAAGGCTAGGAGCAGCTGGGGAGATCTTACCCTAAGCTCAAAGCTTAGAAAGACAGTATTCTCATTTCTTCCTCTGGATTTGACAATGAAGTTTTTGGGAAACTCCTCCCAACCTGCATGGGAGGACAACCAAACGTTGTAGGTATGGAATCATTTGGAGAAGTGGGCCAACCATTTGGCCCCACTTCTACTTCTGCCCAGTTTCCAAGATGAGCCATCAGTATAGACTGATTCTACTGATCTGTTTTCCCTTTGTCCTGCCTCCTGTCCCTACTGGAGCCCTACCTTCCCGAGGAGGCTACAAAGTCACCCAAGGGACCAGGCAAGCTGCCATAACCAGCAGCCTCCAATTCACTGAGATGAAGCTTGCCAGTAAGAGATTCAAACCAGTTTTTCTTAGATTCTCCTAAGACTATTACCCAAGGCTACTATGGCCTAGAGCTTAAGAAGTCTGGGGGGGGGGGGAAGCAAACTCTAAAGCAGGGTTCTAATCTTCAAGAGCAATTTGTTTAAGTATGAAGTGGCTTGCTGCTTGCTCTATGGGCTTTTTCTATTGGTTTTTTTCCCCATCCTTTGATTCAAGGGACTGCTGTGAGAGTGGTGTTGGCAGTGGGAAGTACTAGAATTCAATAGTTATAGGTCTTATGAGTCGGGGCCGACTCAACGGCACATAACAACAATAACAACAACAGGTCTTATACAATACATTTTGGTGCGAGGGGAAAGGAGCCATGAAATTAAAAGGAACAAAGACTTCCACGTCTCCAAAGCAGCATCCCCTACCTAGTCCCGTCTGTTTTCTTCTGCATGTCTTTCAGCCTCCTACCCACTGCCATTGAGTCGATTCTGACTCATAGCTATCCCTGTTGGGTTTCCAAGGCTGTAAATCTTCACGGAAGTAGATTGTCTCATCTTCCTTCCATGGTTGTTGTTGAGCTCTGGTAGCATAGTGGCTAAGGCACTTGCCTGCTAACCAGAAAGTTGGCGGTTCAAACCTACCAGCCGCATTCCTCGGAAGGAAGATGGGACAATCTACTTCCATAGTGATACTGCCTCGGAAACCCAAGGAGGGGTCGCTATGAGTCAGGTCCGACTCGACGGCACAAAACAACAACAACAACAATCCTTCCATGGAGCAGCTGGTGGGTTTGAACTGCCAACCTTCTGGTTAGCAGCCAAATGCCTTTCCCACTATGCCACCAGAGCTCCTTTTCAGCCTTCTAGATCTCCTATTTATTACCCTCTACATCATCCCATTGGATTAAATTAGATCCTTTTTTACCACTCAACATTTACCACCAAGTTCCCAGCAGGCTGCTTCCAGTAGCTCAAAGTGTTGTTATATAAACGATGAAAGAAATTTGACCTTGTGAGATCAGAAGACAGAGCTAGGCCGTATGGAAAAGAGGAGGGGGGCTTTGAATCAGTAAAAGGAGGAATTTTCTACTAGGGATGGGCAGTAGGAGGCTTGTGGGTTGTGAAGCTAGACAAACTCAGGTTCAAATCCTCACTTTGCACTTCTGAGTTGTGTGATCTTGGGAAAATTACTTTCCTTTTCAACGCCTCAGTATTATCTCATAAAATAGAATACTTCCCAAACAGGCTTATTTTTGGAGTAGACATAACATCTATAAAGCTCCTAGTATAAGGATGCTGCAGGGGGAGGGAACTGAGGCAGGGGTAGACTCCAAGATTTACCCTAAGATTCTAGAAGTCTGGACAACTTAGGGCATTAGAACCACTGAATGGAGGTACTTTTCAGTAGAGAACGGTTCCACAGGACCCTGCTCTTGGGGAGGGAGACCTGCTTGGGAGGGAGACCTAGCCACTGCCCTCTTGATCTTTCCTTTTTGAGGACCTGGATTTCACCTTGTTTTTCTCCTGCTTTCTCTGACCAGCTATTTACCTCCCCAAGATGCTCTGCTCCCGAGAGACAGGTGATAACACTGGGAGTCAGGGGTGTTTGCACCTCCCAGCCTGTCCCCATCATCGATTCAGTCTCAAGTTAAACAGTCTCTGGATTTAGCCTATTTAATTTGGCTGCAGGAAGAGGGCCAGCCCTCTGATGATCAAATATGGGTCATGGGGAGGCTTCCCCCCTACCACAGCTTACGTCATTATTTATTTTAAAATAATTAACCAAGGATATCCGCGGGAAACAAAAGCCTTCTTTACAAGGGAGCCTGGCAGGAGAGAGTCAAGACACATTTGTTAGAATCTAGGGAGCATAGCCTAAGGCTGTGGTTTTCAAACATTTTTTTTCCCCATGCGTAACCTTATTATGTAAGAAATATAATGGTGGAGATGTTCCGTTTAAAGACAAGTGGGTTCCTGTGACGGGCCTAGCCATTCCTTTAAAAACTGGCTAAGGGATAGAGTCTTGTCTGGGAAGCAGGGGATCCTTGTTTTGATCTTAGCTCTGCCATCAATTTACTGGGTGAGCTTCAGCTTCCTTATCTATAAACCGCAGGACTTCCAACTGGAGGGAGAGGGCTGCCACCACCGTGGAGCATGGTGGGAACTGGGCAAAGAGGCTGCTCATTAGCTTCAAGTTCACCTGTAACCTTTCCCAGTGATGCTCTTCTCACTAGGAATTTGGTAATCACCTTGGACCCTGGTTGCTGTAATCAGCCAACCCTCTTAAAGGAGAATGGGAGGGTGGAGGGTAGAGGGTGCATCACAAAGTGTCAGCTGGCATTAGACCAGCAATAGATGTTCTTGTTAAAGGAAGGAAAGGCCAAGTCCTTGTGTATTTCACAAGCTCAGAAAAGCACTTAAAATGAGAATGAAAGTGGACTGCAAAGTGGATAGGTTCTAAAGCCAGCAGACCTGGGCTTAAATCCTGGCTGTGCTACATAATTGCTGTGTGACCTTGGAGAAGTTACTTAACCTCCCTGAACTTGGTTTCCTTATCATTAGTCATATCCACCCTAGGTTGTTGTGAAGATTGAATGAGTTAATGGGTGTGAAAGCACCTAGCCCATGCTTGGCACATAACAGTTGCCTAAGATACATTCATTCCTCCTACTTTTGTCTTTGTCTAAAAAGTAGATTTAGGAAGGCTGAGTTCACAAAACTTTACTGAGCACCTACCATGTGCCAGGCAGAGTGCTAGGGAGCTTGTGTTAATAAGAAGTGGAATGGCATCTTCCCTTCTTCCTTCACCACTGCAACCTCTGAAAATGAATGTATGACAAGGGCTCTGGTTTAATATTGGTTGGGCAAAGTTGCCAGGTTAATAACCACAAAGGATACTGGGAGAAATGAAAATGCCAGAAGGTGGCCACACACCTTCTACCCACTTCCTGGCTTGAGCTACTAATTGGCCATATTCCCATCACTGGCCTGATGAACCACAGTAAGCATGTCCAGCAGTGGAAGGCATACTAGCTGGAGTATACAAGCCTCGGCAAGGAAGTCATCTCTTTCCAGGCCTCAGTAACAAGGACACAGGGTTACTTCTGAATTCCTACAGCATATGAGACAGAGACAAATCATTTGGTTTCTATCCAATATTACTCGTCTGAAGAGTCCAAAGCATGGAAGAAATTGAAGACTTAAGGTTCCAAGAAGCCAGCACCTCCACACCTTGCCTTCTTGCATCAGCGCCCACGTCCAGGGCACCCTTCACATTGCTGCCTAGATTTATTTCTAGTACGACATATCACCACATCACTGACCTGCTTGGAAATCTCTGATGGCTTCCCATTGACTTCTGGAAAAGCTCCAGCTGTCAAGTCGATTCGACTCAT